ACCCGCATCACGGACGTCACCCACATCACCATCACGGACGTCATTCGCACCACGGACGTCACCCGCACCACGGACGTCACCCGCACCACGTACGTCACCCACATCACCGACGTCACCCGCATCACGGACGTCACCCGCATCACGGACGTCACCCGCATCACCGACGTCACCCGCATCACCGACGTCACCCGCATCACGGACGTCACCCGCATCACGGACGTCACCCGCATCACGGACGTCACCCGCACCACGGACGTCACCCACATCACCGACGCCACCCGCATCACGGACGTCACCCGCATCACCGACGTCACCCGCATCACGGACGTCACCCGCATCACCGACGTCACCCGCACCACGGACGTCACCCGCATCACCGACGTCACCCACATCACGGACGTCACCCGCATCACGGACATCACCCGCATCACCGACGTCACCCACATCACGGACGTCACCCGCATCACGGACGTCACCCGCATCACCAACGTCACCCGCATCACGGACGTGACCCACATCACCGACGTCACCCACATCACGGACGTCACCCGCATCACGGACGTCACCCGCATCACCATCACGGACGTCATTCGCACCACGGACGTCACCCGCACCACGGACGTCACCCGCACCACGGACGTCACCCACATCACGGACGTCACCCACATCACGGACGTCACCCGCATCACGGACGTCACCCGCATCACGGACGTCACCCGCATCACTGACGTCACCCGCACCACGGACATCACCCGCATCACCGACGTCACCCGCATCACCGACGTCACCCGCACCACGGACGTCACATACATCACGTACGTCACCCGCACCACGTACGTCACCCACATCAACGACGTCACCCGCATCACCGACGTCACCCGCATCACGGACGTCACCCGCATCACGGACGTCACCCGCATCACGGACGTCACCCGCATCACCGATGTCACCCGCACCACGGACGTCACCCGCATTTCTTTTTTTAATGGTATTTGCGGTGTGTACGATATGCCGTCCGTGTAGACAGCGCACTGTGTTCAGCACATGCACGGCAGTAGCGCCACAACCTTCACACTAACACATTAACTTGCTAATTCACTGACCCTCACTCACTCACTCACTCCGCCTTGATTCCTGGTCCCCAGCCTCATTCCCCCCACCTCGCCCGGTGGAACCCCCTCCCCCCCCCTCACCACCACGTTAGGGTGGCTGATGCTGGCACACAGCGCCGCCTCCTGCAACGACCTCCGCCTGTTGTCGTCGGAGGCGGAGAACACCAGCGTCTTCACCGCCACGGAGAGCCCCTGCCAGGTGCCTGATCAGGACATACGGAACGGAGGGAGGAGAATCATGATCGTTGGCAAGGAAACACCAAAGATGAACTGCCGGCCGGTGAGGGAGGGCGGCGGCGGGGAAGGGAGGAGGGGAGGGGCACCGAGAGGGCCTTCTTACTAACAATCCACAACATTGCAGTAGCAGTCGCAGTAGCAATAGCAGTCGCAATAGCAGTAGTAATAGCAGTAGCAGTAGCAGTAGCAGTAGCAGTAGCAGTAGCAATAGCAGTCGCAGTAACAGTAGCAGTAGCAATAGCACTAGCAGTAGCAGGTCTTGACGGCTCTTACCTTTATACACGGTGCCGAAGGACCCCGAACCGATGACCGCCTCCAGCCTGATGGCCACATCCCGTACACTCGCCCGCAGCTCCTGGGCCATACGGCCCAGCTCAGCCTGCATGTCGCCAACACCGCTAGAATCAACACCACTGCTGCAGCCGCGGCCGGACGGGTCGCTGCAGGGGCCAAAGGCGGCACCATCGGCGGCGGCGGCGGCAGCGGCTTCACCGTCGCCGACCGTGTTCACGCACTCTTCACCGCCGCCATCGGCAGCGCCGCCGCCACCCTGGTTGTTGGCGTCAACGCGAGTGGACAGGACGCGTCGAAGCAATCCGGAGCCGGCGGCGGTGCCCCCGGACGCGCAATCAGATACAGACGCGGCTTGCCGCGACTGGCCACCGAAGCCGCCGGGACCCCTTCCCAGCATCGGCGATGGTATGAAGTCTGTGTCCGATATCTGGCTGCCGGTGCCGCATCACCTGACGTCATTCGCACCACGGACGTCACCCGCATCACGGACGTCACCCGCATCACGGACGTCACCCGCATCACGGACGTCAACCGCACCACGGACGTCACCTGCACCACGGACGTCACCCGCATCACGGACGTCACCCGCACCACGGACGTCACCCACATCACGGACGTCACCCACATCACGGACGTCACCCGCATCACGGACGTCACCCGCATCACGGACGTCACCCGCACCACGGACGTCACCCGCATCACGGACGTCACCCGCATCACGGACGTCACCCGCATCACGGACGTCACCCGCATCACGGACGTCACCCGCATCACGGACGTCACCCGCACCACGGACGTCACCCGCATCACCGACGTCACCCGCATCACGGACATCACCCGCATCACCGACGTCACCCGCATCACCGACGTCACCCGCATCACCGACGTCACCCGCACCACGGACGTCACCCGCATCACGGACGTCACCCGCATCACGGACGTCACCCGCATCACGGACGTCACCCGCATCACCGACGTCACCCGCACCACGGACGTCACCCGCATCACCGACGTCACCCACATCACGGACGTCACCCGCATCACCGACGTCACCCGCATCACCGACGTCACCCGCACCACGGACGTCACCCGCATCACGGACGTCACCCGCATCAAGGACGTCACCTGCATCACCGACGTCACCCGCATCACCGACGTCACCCGCATCACCGACGTCACCCGCACCACGGACGTCACCCGCACCACGGACGTCACCCGCATCACGGACGTCACCCGCACCACGGACGTCACCCGCATCACGGACGTCACCCGCACCACGGACGTCACCCGCACCACGGACGTCACCCGCATCACGGACGTCACCCGCATCACGGACGTCACCCGCATCACGGACGTCACCCGCATCACCGACGTCACCCGCACGACGGACGTTACCCGCATCACCGACGTCACCCACATCACGGACGTCACCCGCATCACGGACATCACCCGCATCACCGACGTCACCCGCATCACGGACGTCACCCGCATCACCGACGTCACCCGCACCACGGACGTCACCCGCATCACGGACGTCACCCGCATCACGGACGTCACCCGCATCACGGACGTCACCCGCATCACCGACGTCACCCGCACCACGGACGTCACCCGCATCACCGACGTCACCCGCATCACGGACGTCACCCGCATCACGGACGTCACCCGCATCACCGACGTCACCCGCATCACGGACGTCACCCGCATCACGGACGTCACCCGCATCACGGACGTCACCCGCATCACGGACGTCACCCGCATCACCGACGTCACCCGCATCACGGACGTCACCCGCACCACGGACGTCACCCGCACCACCGACGTCACCCGCATCACCGACGTCACCCGCACCACGGACGTCACCCGCACCACGGACGTCACCCGCACCACGGACGTCACCCGCACCATGGACGTCACCCGCATCACGGACGTCACCCGCATCACGGACGTCACCCACATCACGGACGTCACCCGCATCACGGACGTCACCCGCACCACGGACGTCACC